TCCACTCTCTCGCCTACTCTCATCCCAGCTCTCACCAAGAACCTAAGAACTGCCTGAATACTTCCTACTCGGAGTACAGGTCATGAAGCAGTAGCAAGAGTCTATTAGACAGACTAGTTTTCTGCTTTATGTTTATCTACCAAATCGAAGGACACCGGCACATGCCAATGTCCAAAAAACACAGATCTATGTATATCAGCCCTTCGAGGCTCAAGGAACATGGCAGCAGAGGGGATCATGGGATGAATGAGCGCTCCAGGAAGATGTCAGCTCAATAAAACATGGCTGTTACACTAATGAACTCATGGGATTACCTCCACAAGACTGACATAAGATTACAAGATTGGGCCCATCAGCAGCATGTCTGCAGGAACACGTGAGGGGTTCATAAGACCTCACCTCTCCTTGGACAACTTTTGGAAATTAACGTTTGCTATGGGGTGAGGTGTCATTCTCCTCAATGGTAAAGCCATGGATAAGCTGCCAATGCTCTAATAAGTACCCTTCATTCACACTCATGCAACTAGCCATAATTAAACACAATGACGTCTCTCTCTCTCTCTCTCTCTCTCTCTCTCTCTCTCTCACACACACACACACACACACACACACACACACACAGTAGGAGAAAGACTTACTGGGAGGAAGATTATAACGGGGGTAGAAATTACCAAAAATTCATCATATATGAAACTGTCAGGTGGAGGCAGCAAGCACATTTGTAGATATTTTTTTTCTACATTAACTACTGCCTGTCACTGATTTACCTTACCCATTAGATCTATACTTTTAAAACTATGCAAACATTTCATTTCCTCACTTGAGACGGGTAGGTGATTTCCCAAATTCCCTTGGAATAAATTTCATGACTCTCGCAGAGGCTGGGCGGTGTAGAACATTATTGTCCTTGTTTTCTTTCTATTGCAGTGATGAGCAACACGGAGAGGAAGGCATTGATTTTCTCCTAAGGCTTCCAGTCCTTCAGGTGAGGGCAGGAACTGAGGCCGTCCGTAGGGGGATTATGCTTACTGGCCTGCTTCTGGTGGCTTGTTCAGCTTTCTTCCTATAACAGAGGATCACATGCCCAGGGTTGGTACCGCCCACAGCGGGCTGGGTCTCTCATGTCAATCATTAATCAAGAAAATGCCCCCCACAGACCAGCCACAAGCGAATCTGATGGAGGCAAGTCCCCAGCTAAGGTTTCCTCTTCCTGGCTAACACTGTTGTGTCCAGGTGACAGGAACGAAGCAGCACAGCTGTCTGTGCATCCTCGCCTTGTCAGCTTCTGCATTCAGTGGACATCATGCTTGGGTACCCAGACCTCCATTCCAGTCCCCAAATCCCGGCAATTTCTTTCTTCCTTCCCTCTAGAATATACCACCACTCACCACCATGAGTACCTTCCTATGTATACATTCAAAGCTTTCTACAATTGGTAAGTCATGGAGGGCCTAGAGGACCCAGGAGCACACTTTCTGCGTGTGTTCAGTGTTTAGGATCCTAGAGACCGCAAACTTTCCTTTGTCCACTTAGCCCTTCCTTCTTCGCTTGCCCGTGATCCTCATCTCTGGTCTTCCTTCTCTATCACAGAGTCACAGATAATGATGTCTTTATCAGCACCATCAACTTTAGAAACAAGCCACCAGCTGCTGCCCCCGAATTACGCACCAGCTGGAGGACGGTTGCCTCTGCTGAACCCTGAGGATCCTGGCACAGGTTTTCCTCCTTTTCACAGGTAGACAAAAGGCCTCACTGACACAAACCAGCTGCTCCTCAGTCTAAATTTAATATCTGCATGGAGCCATGGGTCAGGATTCTCAGCAGGAAATTCTCACATTCAGTCTTTACCCTCTCCCTGCCCGGAAGAATACCACTGGAATGACAAGACGGGTTTTCAAGAGCAATAAAAATTTTGTACTTTACATATGATGGCCAGCCCTTCCTCCTTTAAGAGGACAAATAAAAAATTATTTTGCTTTCACATATCAAGTTTACATAGACAATGACAAACTAAGACGTTGTATTTATCTATTTACTGCAGGCTCCTGGGAGCCTGGGAGCATGCTCAGAGTTTGAAACTCTCTTCTTATCCTCACCCCATTAGGCAAAAATGCAGAGATGACACAAGCCTCACAGAAGCTTCAGAGAAAGATCTGGGATTTAAATCCCAGGACGCCACGTGACTGAGATGTGTTGCCTTTATCTAGATGCCGTTTCATCTGAGAAGTCAAAGACATGGACATGGCCACATAAAGCCCTTTGGAAGATGACCTCAGAGGCTGAGATGTCTCTCTGCCATGTTCACGTTGAAAGTAACATAACCTACATCTTATCTTTCAAAGCTGCATTTCTACCTTAGAAGAGACAAGCGAGATGGGAAAATGCCGGGGGAGCGGCACTCAGGGGCACTAATGTATGCAAATCCACAGACCTGCTCTCTGTCTTCTCGTGGTCAGACCTGTGGGGTGGTGTATGACCAGCCTACCACGTGGAGATCATGCAGGTGGCTGGGGAGACCTTTGTGCATAGCAACTTGCTCTGAGTGTTGAGTCAGTGATGTTCAAGGCTGTGATGTCATTATCTAATTATCCAGAAATCATCTCTCACATGGGAAAAGGTGAGAGGTGCTTGCTCACATATCTGTGAATACATAACTGAAGGGCCCGTGTGTCTTCTCGAACCGAAGTTCTGGGAAACACACACAGTTTGTGTACATTTCCAATATTTCATCTCATACAGAGCATCTGTGATATCTGTGAGGGTAAACACAGCACCAAAAATGCATTCTCTCCTCTTCGGAGGAACAGAGGAACCTTGGGAACCAAGTCAAAACTAACAGAAATGGAACATACCGAAGCTGCTTGTACATATAAATTAAGATGAGAACACGGAAGCATCCCTAACACACGCCATCAGATATTTGCAGGAGGGATGTGGAGTAGGGACATCAAGAGGAGGCAAGCAGGCAGGCCTCTGACGATTCGGCCCTGTGAAGCCTCAGGAAACCCTCTTTTTGGCCCAAGACACGAGAGGGAGACTGTTGGCCCACTTCTCTACAGAATGGAAATGATAGAGATGATTCCTACGAACTTCCAGCTCTAGCACACAGGGCACCTGTCATTTAAACAGCCCTTGCACCTGGAGAGATGAACATATCTTTATATGTTTAAAATGTTTCTCAGGAAACATTTGTTGAATTAATGAAATCGGGCAACTTTAGCCATGAGAAAAAATCTTGGGAACAGAGGAGGATAACATTATCCAGATAGCTACACATCCACTGTGCCTTCTAGCTTATTGCTTTTGCAAGTAAGATTCTGGGGAGTAGTTTCGTCTCTCTCTTAAACCAACAACGTGACCCCAGGCAAACTGCTCTGCCTCGGGGACCACAGCTTCCTCATCACTGAAATAAAGGTGCGCTCAAGCTATACATAGCTACCATTTTTGAAACCTCGACTGCCAGCAATTGTTCTGAACTCCTTGCCCTGGACTTGAAAAAGCTCAAAAGGTTTTGCAACACTAGCATTTAGTGTCTAATTTCAGAAGTGTCATTGTGCAATTGAAAGGTTTTGTATTCTATAGTCCAGCAGGCCAGAGTCTCAGAATGCATTCTGTGAGGTAGGTTCTTTTGCTAGGAAGAAACAAACTAGCAAACAGAAGGCTCTACAAACCCAGTACTTCTATTATCAAAAAAAAAAAATCTCTACCATATCGCTCTAAAAGAATTTAAATTATAAATGAATCTATAGCACAATTTTGCTGCAGCTATGAAACCATGACAGCCATCTCAGCCATCTTCTCAAGCTTTGTATTATGGGAGATACAGAATTATTTGAAGACCGTGTAAGCATGCATTAACAAAAACTTCATACCTAATACTTTGCATAGCATATGCAATCAGAGGGGGAGAAAAAGAGATTGGGGTGTCTTCTCTAAACCTTTACCTTTAGCCCCATCTTAATTAAGCAGATGGACAAAGAAGGCAGCCAAGAAGGGAGGGCATGTGGGAGTCGTAGTTCTACAGGACAGGACTACCTCCTGGGATTCCCGAGAGTAAGACTTCAACTCCCAGAAGACATTTCTCCAGGTCAAATGGCACATTGGGAGCTGAAGTACCAGGCCAGCAGAGTGCACGGAGAAGGACTGCAAGTCCCAGAAGCCTCCGCAGCCCAGGTCTTGGGTCATAAAAGGGAGTCAGGGAAAAAAAAAAAAAAAATGGAGCTTTCAGTTGCAATCCGTTTAAGCACAGGTTTGAGCTGGGCTGCACCTGGCAGTCCAGGCCTCGCCCTAGTTATGCCCGAAACAACCACCGGGTATTTTCAGCACAATTCTGAGCGACCAAAAATAAGCCCTTTTCCACTGACAAACTTTCGCGAGCCTGGCCTCAAGGTCGAGTACAGCTCTAGGCAGCTTCTCTGGGCCACTAGAGCAGGAAGCTGATTTTTTTATCCACGTGAGGACCGCTGGGCCGGTGGTCCAGAGTACCAGGGCAGAGGCAAACCCGCCTCCTTCCTTCTACCTACGTTTACAGCTTCCAGGTCCCCGCGTGTGAAACCCAAATTAAAACGCACGGAGGTGTTAAGGTCCGACGAGTGACGCGTTCTCACGCCACAGGGAACGGATGGGAGTTTGTCGGCTTTTCTTTATTTTGCTTTCACACTTATCAAAGGCAAATTCTTTCCGGAAACATTGTGCTCGGTGTGCCCGGCTCTGCTGCTGCCCTGGCACCGGTTCGGATCTTTGGGGACTCTGGAGCTAGGTTATCTGTTTAACCCAGACCTGTTTGAATCAGAGGTCCCTGACACTTGTCTACGGAACTGACGAACTATTAACCAACTACACCTCGAGGACCCGCTGGCGCGACCCCGTGCCTCAGTTTACCCCGAGGGTCTTGCAGGTGCTGGCCTGGCCCCGCCCCGCCGGCCGCAGGGGTACGCGCGTGGGAACCCAGCCCGCGCCCCACGTTCTCTTCCACTTGGGCTCGCTTCCCGGGCCCCTACCTTCCAAGATCTTGGTGGCTGGAATGAAAGGCAGAGGGCGGGAGCGCCGCCTGAGTGGTTGCCCACTGGGGTGGACCGGGGAGCTGAAGGGGGAACGGTCCCGCTGCTGGGCCAAACGGGACGGACTACAATCCCCACAGCGCCTCGCGGCAGGGGCGGGATCCAATAGGTGACAGGCGCGGGGACCAATCGGTGAGAAGAACGAGCTTACGCCCTGCCAATCGGAAGCCAAAGGGCAGTGACACCAAGTCTTGGAGTAGATTGTCTAAGGTGACACTCCCTTTTGAAAGGGGATTTTTGTCATAAATCACACAATATTTGACTTTTTCCAAAGGAGAAAAGGAAGCACGATTATGTTCTCTTGAAATGAAAGCCTGCCCTGTACGTTTGCTTTCCTTCCTTTCGGAGCTGATCTAACGATGCTGCGTCTCCTCTCCCCCACCTTGGCTCCTTCTTGTTTCCTTAGGACCTTTGTATTTCTCGCAGAACACATTCCCAAGACCCCCAAAGCCCTACTTGATCCAGCATACGGCTCCCTTTGTCCTCCCCTGGCATCCTGTCAAAAATCACAGCACAACCTTCCCATGCCTTTCCCCCGCCTTAATCCTCCGCCTGTGCATTATTTTCAACTAGGCTCTCACCAGCGAACACTGCACGTTACTTATTGGTGCCTTTTATTGTCTTACTGTTCCACCAGGATTCTTGAAGAAGTAGATTTTTATTTGGCTGCCGTATTTCTTACACCTAGGGGAGCGAAACGAGTCAAACATAGTAAATAAGTTTTGAATAATTGAGTGATATCTAGAGATGACCTTCTCTTCTCTCTATCTCTCGCTCATATCCATTCAACTCATCTCTGATCACCACGGGTCTTTTATGCCTGCTCTTTTTCATTTTTATTCAGTCATTTCCTCGGTGTATTCTTTACCAGATGCTGCATGAACGGCGGAGAAATCGTTGACTTAGCCGATTCCAAACCTAAACACATTCCGGGTCTAATAATGGATGAGAGAAACAACTTAATTTCCCAATGAATGCAGTTGCAAATTGTGGAGCGACTATATGGTTGATACATGATCATGCAGCTCCTTAGCAGGGAGTAGAATCTTCTTTCTTTCTTCTTAGAAATGCCCCTTCTGCAAGGCAGTGGTGGCGCATACCTTTAATCCCAGCACTTGGGAGGCAGGCAGAGGCAGGCGGATCTCTGTGAGTTCGAGGCCAGCCTGGTCTACAAAAGATAGTTCCAGGACAGACTCCAAAACTACAAAGAAAGAAATCCTGTCTCAAAAAAACTAAAAAAGAAAGAAAGAAAGAAAGAAAGAAAGAAAGAAAGAAAGAAAGAAAGAAAAGAAAAGAAAAGAAAGAAGAGAGGGAGAGAGAGAGAGAGAGAGAGAGAGAGAGAGAGAGAGAAATGCCCCTTCCTCTTTCTTCCATTCTCTCCCAGATCTGAGTACGAGAAAAGAAAGATATTTGCTAGTCTTCTTTAATGTTTCTAAACAACGAGCAGTAATGATATGTCGCTGTCTTCTGTGGCACAGGACCCTTCCCCTTGCCGTTCTTTCTTGACTTTCAGCAGGAGGTGGTACAAGTCTCCGACTGCTCACCCTTTCAGAAGTTTGAACCCCATGCAGAGTATCAAGGTGTGCTGTAAAGCATCCTGGTAAGAAATACTGATGTCCTTGGAAACTACTTTGGGAGAATGTCACACAGGATGCTCGTCAAATACGACTATTAACACTGAGACCCTAGGCAAACTATGAATGAAGGTGAAACATAGAAAGAATAGCAGTTAAAACAGCAAGAATGCAGGTCGATGTGTACGCAGAACTAATCCTGTGCATAGGGATTAAAACCCCCTCCGGGCTTCCTCACACAGGCTTCTGTCGGCTTAAGGTTATTTTCTATAACACAACAATTCTTTTTAGCTTCTATGAGCAGCATAGGGTTGGCTCCCCAGTCCCAGCTTTGCTCTAGCTGATCAGCATGAGAGATGTCACCACCTGTGTCTACTATGTAGCAGAGTGCCAAACTAAATGTGGAATAAAATCCCTGGGCCATAGGAAGCTGGGAATCATAACACTTAAACCCCTCCCAAGGAAGTATCAGCCTGTAGTCATTACATTTTCTACTTAAAGATGAATATGAATACATTTAAGATATGACATTGTGTGCTCTGATTGTTATAGCACTGGCAAACAGCTTATTAACATAGCTATATGAATATAAGCATTCGGCTGTGAATGTTTCTGGGTTAAAGGTGAACTGCCACCTTTAGCAATATAAAGAACAGCAAGAACACCAAGACATGGTCTTGGAGCTTGGACTTTGGATCTGGTCTTTGATCCAAAACTTCTTTTTTTTTGGTGTGTGTGTGGGGGGAGTTGAGACAGGGTTTCTCTGTAGCTTTGGGGCCTGTCCTGGAACTAGCTCTTGTAGACCAGGCTGGCCTCAAACTCACAGAGCTCTGCCTGCCTCTGCCTCCCAAGTGCTGGGATTAAAGGCGTGCACCACCACCGCACGCCTTCTGCCAAGATTCAAGACTTCTAAGCACCAAGACAATCAACTGGAAGGTTACAATCTAATCTACAAACTGACTGAATAATTCCTTCAGGGTTTTCCAGAAGCATGTCCTGAAGTACATATTCCACAGAGAGTTGTTTATCACACAGTACTTACAGGAAATACCAGAAAAAGAATAGGAAAGTGAAACAGGGAAGAGAAGACACGCTCCCCACCCCCCACCAAGTGGACCATCCATCATTTCACTTGCGGTGGCAGCTGTAGTCAATCCTCCTGCGGAATCTTTAGAAAACTATACTGAATTGATTTGTCCCAACAGGTAAGTAGAAGACCTAGGTTACTGAAGCACTAATTCCCGTCCCTCAGTAGGGGATGCTTTAGGGGGTATTTATGTTCTGAGCTGTCAGACCTCTGGGAACACAGAAAGTTAGAAAGTAAAGTCATGCCATTGGAAATAAGAGGACACAGCACTGAAAGATCCGCCACTGCTGTGTCATGGAGACCAATAGAATAAGAATAGTTCCAAAATGAGGTCAATATGTGCCAAGGTGTGTGTGTGTGTGTGTGTGTGTGTGTGTGTGTGTGTGTGTGTGTGGCAGGGTGGGGGGTGACTCATGCACACACACACCTGGTCATGTGCAGTCCAAGCTGCTTACTGCTTTACCCTCGTACCCTCTACCATGTGAACAATTAAAATAGACTATCCTCTTTAACAATCTTCATTAAGGCATGTAAACCAAACAGTAACTCTGGGAAATAGGAACTCCTGAGGACTTTAAGAGAAGTCCTGGTGAGTAGGGTACATAGAGGAAAGATCAAGAGATGTGGAAAGGAGACTTAAAGAACATACTGCTGAAGACATGCTCATTTTTTTGTTGTTGTTGTTTATCTCATTGTTTATCTCATGATCTTAAAGAAACACAAGAGCTTCAGGGCAAGGGAAGAGAGGCAAAGATCGAGGTAATGTGTAGACCTAGAGGGCATTTCTTGTAAAAGAGTTCTGTAAGTCATACTTCCACAGTGTTTCTTCAGAGCAAATAGCTTTGCTTAAAACTGTAGCCACTGTTTGTCATTCTGCTCTTCCCTTGTCTCCTGCTATGCAAACTCTGAGAAGCAAGCACTTTCTGTCGAACTTCCTCCTCGATGGGAGTCAAGAAAGGAGCATGCCACCATAGCCATGCTATAACCACAGGACGCACACAATGAAGAACTAGAAGAGTCCCAGAGTATTAAGCGAAGTCAGGAAGCAAAGGCATCCAGACGACCTCCCTGTAACCTTCCACTAAAAGAAATACAGGATCATCCTCCCCTGTAGGGAGCCTGAAGATCACATAATGGAGTTCCAAGAGCATCCTCTTCAAGCTCACGGGACCCACAAAGAAATCTTCACTGTGGAAAGTCTCAAAACTAAGCAGTCATTGGCAGTCAAAGAGTTCAGCCCTCTGCATAATTCATTTTAGCCATATGTTACAGGTCATAAACTAGACAGTCAGACAAGCATTCTGAGGGCATTTATTTGAGAAAAATACATCCAAAATGAAACTATATTAACCCAAGGAAAGCAATGTTTTGTTTTTATCATCCAAACTATACAGAGACTGGGAAATTCAGCAGTCCTGAAATGCTCCAGTCTCCTTCACAAATCCCGGCTTGTAATCCTGGAGATTTTCTGGCTGTCAGGGAAAATACAGTTGCTAAAAAGAGCAAGAACCATCTTATGACATACTAAATATTGTCCAAATTTTCCACGCTCTCTTGTTCTGTCACTTTGTCCTATTTATTCTTTTGTTTTCCCATGTTAAATAGATTCCTCGGGTAGATCTACTCATCAGACATTGAAGAGATGAGTATATTCCCTATAGTTAGAGAACATACGGAAGCTGTCTCTTTTTAACTATGCCTCATAAATAATCACACTTAATCCTCCTTGGTGCCATCTTCTGCAATCATCTCCCGGTTACCTAGAGCATAAGGTGCATAAAACTAAGCTCAGTGTCCACGCTGCGCTCTCACCGGGGTGGCTCAGAGAAAAGCTGTGCCTCCTCATCACTCTCCCTCAAGACAGGATCCATCCAGACACAAGGCCCAGGCTCACTGCCGCGTTAAAGGCGTTCCATCATTCAGGAAGATTAAAATCCATTAAAAACATTTCCTAAAAATTAAAAAGCTGTATTTCTTTAGTAGAGGACTGTCCTGGTGTGCCTGCTATTGCTGTGATAAACACCACAAACAAATGGATTTATTTTAGCCTCCAGGTTACAGGTTCCTCCCATCTTGGAGGGAAGCTCAAGAAAGAGCCTGGAGGAAGAACCTAGAGCAAGGATAACTTCCTAGGTTGTTTCCCAACTTGCTTAACTCCCTCTCTCATGTGGCCCAGTCCTGCCTGCCCTGGGGTGGCACTGCTCACAGTGAGCTAGGCCCACCCACATCAATCAACAGTCAAATACAGTCTGTGGCATAACAATCCAGTGGTCAAGGAGACAGGGCAATCAGAGAGGGCCTCTCAAAGGAGGTGACATTTGGATAAACGTCTGTTTGTAGAGGCATGAGTCTGAAGAAATGAGGAGACAGACCCCGAGGAAGTCTGTGGAAGAAA